AAATGCCTCCAAGAAGGACTATCTGGAGTTCATGGTCCCGTGGTGGGAGCTCCAGATCGGGGTATCCGTGGCCCAGCTCATCCGCCTGGTTTCGTCCGGGGACAGCAGCATACGGTCGAACACTCTGCTCACCATGTTCCCAGGAGGGGTGGAGGAGAGACTCGTGCAGGACTTCCGCCTCCATCCCAAGGGTCGCACGAAGATGATCGCTCTGGCGGTGCAGGGCGTGGACGAAACCAGCAGTCGCAAGGAGGAGCTGATCAATGCGAGTGAGTGTCGCCTCCGCTACAGGAATGCTGCGCCAGCACTCGCTGCTCGACTTCTGAAATCCCGGCCGCAAACCTTCGCTTCTCCTTCCTGCAGAATTCTTCTGGCAGCAGCCCGGGAAGGTGGAGACCCTGAAGGCCGCAATAGCGACCTACGGGCAGAGCTGGGCGAAGATCAAGGAGAGGTGCGAAGAGTTCCAGGACTTGCAGACGTCGCAGCTGAAAGACAAGGTCAGTACTCTTTGCCATCTATGACTTGCAAACGATAGTGAAGGTGATCATGCAGCATCAGGGGCGAGAGCTGGGGTCTGCATGAAATGTGCAGCCAAGAGCGTGAATTCCTCCGTGCAGTGGAAGTCGCTGGTCCGTGTCGACCAGACGCTCGCTGGCATCTCATCTCCTGGAAAGCGGGGGAGACCAGCCAGGACCAGCTTGATCGAACTGGATGAGAACTGCGACGACTTTGCAGAGACTCGGGCGCAGCTCGAGAGAGAGAAGCAGAAGAACGTGGCTAACAAACAGCAGTTGGACCTCGCCAGCCAGAGGGGCCTTGCTCTGAGGCGACAGCTGGCTACGGTAGAGAAGGAGAACGAAACTCTGAGCATATCCCTCAATACGTTGAACCAGCAGCAGCAGGAACTGGAGCTTGAGATACGTGCCCGGAGAGAATTCGCTGGGGGGTTGCGCCTGAAGTTAAACGGCACGAGCTCGCGAGTGAGAGAGCTGCTGACGGTCTGTGCCGAGGCCAGGACGGTCCACGATGGGCTGTCGGTGACGCTGGAGGTGGAGACGCAGAAAGCCGCCTCTTTGAGGAGATCCGAGGCTCTGATGGCGTCAGAGTGAGTCCACCCACTTCTTACTCATTCGCCGAAGCATCAGCAGGATGTATCGAGCGATCCGAGGAATTGCATAGCATGACATCTTCACCATGACTGATTCTAAGAGTCGTCTCTGCAGGGTCTCCGCCCTCCAGGATCGGATCGAGCTCGCCCGCATAGAAGCTGCCGGGGTCGAGAAGAAGAATGCCACTCTGATCGCGATAGAGGCAGAGTTGCAGCGGCGATTGCAAGGGTTTGAGAATGAGAGCGACGACGGTGCAGAGTCTAGTTTTTACAGCGCAGTCTGAGATTATAGGTCATGAGCATTTTTCTCGGGTCTCTTCGCATAGAGAGTATATGTCGGCGAGACCTGCGATCACGCCCGAGAAACATGCTAGAGGCATCGCGAGCGTCTTAGATAAGCTTTCGGCGACGCACCGTGCTGAATACTTGCATTCGGTGAGGAGCATATTGGAGGCATTCGATCGGAACGAACGTTCCAAAGTGCACGTGCCTGTATTCGAGCCCATGCCGGACTCCCTTCGCTATGCGCTCACGGCATGCATGATCTAGCGGATCGACTTTGCGGGACTCGCGTCAAGGAATGGGGATGTGTGGACACTTTCATACCGGCGCTACGAATCGTAGCTAAGAAAGCTGGGATGCGATCCATTCATCATTCGCCTCTCGTTGAGGATGAGCATGCACCCCTCCGAGGTTCCGTCGAAATGCGTAAACGTTAAGGAATGTCTACAACTCGATGACCTCCTCGCAGTACTCACAGCGAGTCTCGTGTAAATGTTCATCGCTGCCCACTACCTCTGGAACTATGGGCGTTACGACGGACTTTGGAACATCCACATCGCAACAGAGTCCAGTACAGTAACACCGTTTCAGGCGAGGCAGATGTGGCAACTTGGGGAGATATCCCTGAACGTAGACGGCAGTCACCCGTGGCAGAACGTCCTTCAGAAGGGGGTCGTTAGCCATGTCGACGTCCAATCGGTTGAAGAAGTACGTCAGCTTGCCCCCACCGCGCAACCTGAAGACGTGCACGTCGTCGGGAAGCTCTTCATCTGAGACGAGTGCGTCGTCAGACTGCAAGTTGTCTCTGATATTGGATACCATGGTTTCCTTGTCCTTGGATTTCTTCCACCCAGCTTGTTTCGGTGTGAAGTACTTGCTGTCGGGCAGCCCGTCCACATATATGAATTCCTTGTGTGCAAACGCGTAGCGTCTGACCGGCCACAGATCCAACAGAGGTCCGACGTAGAGCATCATCTTTGCGTCGGAATGCCAAAGGTAGAAATGATCCCACCAGGAGCAGACAGCTTCTCTTTGAACCCCGAGCGATTCCACGAAGATGGCAGTGTCTATTGATTCTTGGCGTCCGAATACCACCCACCCACCACGTGGTAGGTCTCGGTCGTCCGAGTGACTTTTCGGACGCCTCCCTGAGTACAACGAGCCGAAAGCAAACCGAGGGATTATTCACGATCTGCGTTGCCGTCTCTCGAGCCGCATGCGTTCCGCTCGCTTCCTCAGATTTATTCCCGCTTCATCCGGAGGATTGCGGTGTTGCGAATCCTGGGGCTGCAAGTAGTCTCTCGGGCTGGGGCCTGGGAGGCTACACGTTCGCTCGTACTCCCGTATCGAAAGCGGGCGTAGATGAAGCGCTAGCTCGTCGGCCGTAGGGAAGGGATCGCTGCTCTCTGGATCCTGCAAGGATCTGCTGATGCTCCTGACCTCCAAAGTCCTGCCCCTATCCCCTGCTGCAGCGCTCATGTTCGCCCCGAAGCTCTTGTGTAGGAACGTGGACAGGGCGCATACGTAACTCTCCGCCTCGTCTTCATGACCATTCTGCTGATCCTCGGAAAACAAAGTATCCAGGAGGATCATGGCCGCTGAGACGGTCGCGGCATCCTTCCCCCTCAGTTTCTCGATCAAGCGGTGGGACAGACGGTAGCATACGCCGCCTGGCTCATCATCTGCGCTGTCCTCGGACTGGATATGGGTCTTCAGGAAAGCCACCGTCCTGATGGCACAGAGAGCGATTTCTTCGTGACGAGCCGCATTCATCAGCGCGTCGCGCGCCCCCCTTTGACTCACTCTCCTCAAGACCGTCATGATGCGCGGGTCCGCAAACGCTCCGTAGATCCGAGAAGGGCTTGGAGGTTCGTAAGTCATCTCGTACCTTATCGCCAGATATTCTCGGACGCTGAGCTTTGGCGACTGGGCCCGAAAACGAGGCGTGGGACTTCCGTCCGAGAATGTTTCGGACGCCCTATCAGCTTCTATTCCAGCAATACGAGCGTCCTACTGGGACTCTTGCGTCTATATAAGGAACCTTCATTCTCTGCGGGTGAGCAGGACGTCATGGCGGAGACCACAGAGAAGATCACGCTCTTTCCTAGCCAGGTCGTGCATGCGGAGAAACTGATCAGGGTGCTGGAGAGGAGCCCTTATGCGCTAGACTTTTCGCAGATGGGGCTGGGCAAGACTTACACCGGCTCGCACATAGCCCTCACCATGGGGTTCCAACATGTGATCCTCGTCGCTCCCGTCAGCGTACAACCAAAGTGGAACGATATGCGCGTGCGTTACGGGGTGCCCATAACAGAGAATATCAGCTTCTGCAGCATCCGTTCCGTCAGGAATAAACAGCCTTCGCACGGGCTCCTCTCCAGGAGAGATTACAAGGTAGAGATCAGGAAGAACAACGAGGTGCGGGAGATTTCAAAGACGGACTTTAGGGTCACGGACAAGTTCCGCGAGTTCGTACGAGAGGGCGCCCTCCTCTTGGTAGACGAAGATACAGTTCATCAAGAACGTCACGGCGCAGACCTCCGCGTGCCAAGCTCTCGTGCGGACCATCGTAGGATTCCTTCCGAGCAAGGGGGGCGGTCGCGGGTCCTCATGTTGTCCGGCAGCCCCTTGGACAAGGAGGAACAGGTGGCCACGCTCTTCCGCACCCTCAACCTCATGCAGGGGAACGAGCTGTGCCGCTACAACATCGGGACGCGCACCATGGAGTGCACCGGGATCACCGACATCATCGAACATTGCAAGAGGATAGACCTGGAGGGGACCGAGAAGATACTGAGGATGAAACATCGCTGGTGGTTCCTGAACGAGTACAACATGCGGCGGCTCTGCTACCTCCTCTTCCAGGACGTCTTCAAGCGGCACCTGGCGTCCGCGATGCCCCCCACGCGCTCGAATGCGACCCTGTACAAGTACAACGGGTTCTACGACGTGAAGAACGAGAGCGACAGGAACGGCCTCACGGAAGGTGTGCGGGCGCTGCAGGAAGCCGTGAGATATGATGCAGGGACGGGGAGGGTGTCCTACGAGAATGCGAATTTCGGCGACCTCACGAGAGCGTTGGTGCAGATCGAGGAGGCCAAAGTCAGCACCTTCCTGAGGATCGCACGAGACCTGCTGATGAGCGACGAGGACCGCAAGCTGGTGATCTGCTTGAACTACAGGAGCAGCATCCGGAAGCTGAAAGCGGCCCTCTCCTGGTGGGATCCGCTGGTACTGGACGGGACAGTCTCGAAGCGGAAGCGCAAGGAGATCATAGATGCATTCCAGGCTCCCACGCACTACAGGCGCGTGTTGATTGGGAACGTCTCCGTCTGCTCTACCGGGATAGACCTTGACGACAAGCACGGGAGCTTTCCGCGAACGGCACTCGTGAGCCCTAACTACAGCACGATCACGCTGTACCAGCTCTGCCACAGGTTCCAGCGGCTGGACACCAAGTCGGACGCCTCCGTCAAGATGGTCTACGCGAAGCACTGCCAGGAGCTGTCGGTGCTCAACGCGCTCGCGCGCAAGGGCGGGGTCATGAAGCAGACGACGAGAGAGCAGGTGGAGGCGGGGGTGCTTTTCCCGGGGGACTTTCCGAGATGGGACGAGGAGCTGGTCCTCGGACGGCAACCGGCGGACCTCATAGATGCATTCATGAAGAAGAGAGAGGAGAGACTCGTGCCGAGAGCGGCCAAGCTGATATCGAGGGCATATAGGGAGTACTTGTATCGCCCGGACGGTCCCATGTACCGTAGGGTGAAGGCCAGGTTCGATATAGGAAAGGAGACGGTGCGCGTCCAGACGGTCTGGTAGAGTACGATCCCATTCCGCGATGCATCTATACCGTTATCCATTCGGAAACGCAGTCGGAGACTTTGTCATCATAGGGACGTACGATGACAAGGTGTTGATATACAGCGTGACCAACGAGCGATTTTTCATGGCTGTGATTCCAGTCGTGGAAGCATGCGAGCCGCTTCGTCCGGATGCAGGAATCACCATTCGAGATCTCATGGATGCATACGAGAAGTTGCAGGAGTGGACCGAAGTGCGTGAATACGTCAAGGAGGACCCTGGACATAGATCTCTGATGGATGCTTGTAGACATTTCTACGAGAAGGAGTGGAAGGTGTCTCAACAGTCTGAATCAGCCGCTACCTGAAAGACGATTACCACCTGAAAAATCTCTCTAGGACAAGGCATTTCCTGTCTTCTGGCATGACCATGATCCTCGCACCGTTCTTTCTCTCTAGGCATATCAGGATGGCACAGTCATCCATAAAGTTTTTCCATGCTTGTGTAGATTCGGGATCCGAATCCTTCGTCTCGTACACATGTTCTAGCCTGGGCAGAAACGTTAAGATTGCCTGCAGTGTACCATAACGAATCATGAACTCGTCTGTCGTTGACTCCTTTTCCATGTACGCAAAGTTCTTCTTCCAATTCTCATATGATCCACCGACGAAGATGTATTGTCCATCCAATCCGGGCACGTAGTGCCAGCATGGGATGTGCAACATCGTTGTCTCTTTCAGGTTCTTAGGTAGAGGTTGTCCTGAGACTACGTAGGACAGGCTCCCGTCCTCCAGTGTAAACCAATGCCCGTGCTTGTCTTGTTCAGCCATGATTCCCTCTCTAGCCGGTCCTCCAGAAGGTATCTGTCTCACGGCAGCTCACTTCCCTATATTGAGTCAGACGATGTATCTGCACCACTAGTGCTTGTCTTCGTCATCTTACTCCGAATCTTTTCGCAAATCGTCTCGAGATCTTCCGCGTTGCAACATGGTGTCGGTCTGGTCCCCGACTCGACGGGGCACGTATCTATTCGAATAGTGTTGCCTAAGTCAGCATGAACAGCATGGAAGTCCCTTCGAACCTTGTCCCGTTTCATGTTAGGAAAGTCCACTGCGAGCTTGTCGAAGATGCTGAACAGTCCGTCGGCACTCTTTCGGACGACGGTCTGAACGGGTTCCAGTCTGGTTCTCTCGGAGGGCCGCCCCTCGATTCTGGCGGGCCGCCTTTTCGGAAGCTCTTCGATGCGAGCAGCGAGCGAAGATACTACCGCAGCTACGATCGTTTGAAGCTGCTCGGACGTCACGTAGTCAGGATGCGGTGCCCTCGCTTCCTCGGTGATCGGGTTTCGTTTGTTGAAGTGTCGAAATAATTCGTGGGTTTGTGCGAATGTTACGGCGGGTGTAGGACCACCTCTATTGTCGAATGGGTGGGTAGTCGTTTCGTTATGGATCATGGTGAAGTGTGTTCTCCAATTTCGACGGGGGTTGGAGTGGCCGCAGAAGGAGATGATGTCGTAGGCAGAGAATAGAGTCGTCCCGCAGTCCAACTTCTTGTACCTGATACCCTCCGGGACTCCGTATTGCTTGTTCCTTGTACCCTGGATTGGTTATCATCGTTTAGTCGACTTTCTCGAGTGCGGCTGATTCTTTCTCCGTCGCACACCTGACCACCTTCAACATCGTTTTCACCCTTTTGGGTAAAAACCTCTTCGTGAATAGAATCTGCCGTTCCTCCCTTTGCCAGCTCCTCTGCTTGATCTATCTCTTGCACAGTACTCTTCTTGAGACGTGCCAAGCGATATTCGTGCTCCAATTCTAGTTTCTTGGCTTCGAGCTTCTTTTCCTCGATCTTGTATTGCCACTCCAATTGCTTCGTGATTTCCTTCTCCTTCTCCAGCTTTTCAGAGGTACTCCCTTGCTCTCTGTTGGTCAACTGCAACTGCGTCAACTCTACGTAAGCATCTCTCATCGCTCGAAAGAACTGCCGAACTTTATTGCCAGTCTCAGTCATAGCTACCATAGCAAGGAGCTCGAATGCGTTGATGGTCATATGATACTTATCTGGTGCGAACCCCTCGTAAGACCCATCATCAGTCTGGATGACCCCCCCTTTCATGCAACAGTAATCGAAGCCTTCCTTGAACCCTCCACCCTTGAGCTTCCGAAGCCCATTTGCTTTGGTGCTGTAGCCCAGAAAGCGCCATGTGTCGTCGAAGTCGATGGGAAAATAGTTGCCTTTGTCGTCGAATGCCTTGATAAACACGGACGCCAGCTCCCCGCGGCTGTTTGCACTTATCTCAGTTGCGACGACACGGGGATGTGCAAGGATGCTCGTGACGAGGTCCATCTTCCTGTATTGCTCCGAAACGGATTCAGGAAGAATAGACGCGGGTAGATCCGCGCTTCAACCAAACAAACCATCCGGTACACAGTGTCCGGTGTTCCCTGGTCGGGCCGTCTCGTCTTCATGAAATTCTTCGTACTACGAGAACTGCTACAAAAGGTTCCCGGAATCCGAACAGCCGGCAAGGATTCGGGGCCACTTCAGGTTCATCTATGGTCCCGGGAGATCAGTACATGGCTTTTCAAAGACTTCGTCTCGATGATCGTTTACGGATGCGTCTTTCACCGAGAGGAACCTAACAAATGTATCCCTTCGTATTCATCCAAAGAAAGTCGTAGTAGGAAAAATGGGCTGTACAGCAAATTTTTCGGACTGTGGTCATACCCTCCTCTTCATGAAACCATGTCTACTACGAAATATACTACGAAATTTTCCAACCAACCGGACAACCGGATAGATTTTCGGGTTAGTTGAGATTCATCATCATCTCAGGGGCTGCCGGTTGCTCGGGAATCCGGTTTCGTCTTCACGCGCGTCTCGAAAAACGTCTCTCTCCGAGAGGATGTACACCAAGCGCCCCCCTTATACCGCCCTAGTACGAATCGTAGTAGAAAATATCGTCTACATAGCTTCCGGCCGGACGAACCGGTTGAGATCGCAAAAAGTGCTCATGTAGAGGGTTCGTGAAGAGACTCTCGATTCTATGAAGAGGACCGGTTTGCCGGTTGTACATTTTCGGGGTTTTCGATCATGAAGACAAACCTCCCGACGACGAATCGTCAGGGTCCTAGTAGAAACCGGAGCACCCGGAAAAAACCGGAATATTAATAGGTCCCATAGAATATGTCGGCCATATTCATCTTCCAAAGATCCGAATAACAGTGATCATGTAACTCATGACCACCATAGCACTACTCATCCCAATACTATAGCCATACCATATAGTACAAGAATATTAATATTTTAGTTCCGTGCGCGTTAAGTATACTAAGTATCTGGTTATGTATCATAAGAAGTCATATTAAGGAGAGATTATGAGAAAAAGGGCGATGAATATGTATAAAAGGAAAGCGAGTTGTGTTCATGTTGAGAAGATGAACATGAAGTACATGTGTTTATGGGCCGGGCTATAAATCGTTGCCGGTTGTTTTGTCTCCTCGATGAAGACAAAAATTCTACTACGTTTTCGTCTCGCAACCAGCAATCTCAACCGGATCCCTTTGCCACCTCGTGTCACCCATAGGCAGACACCTCGGTTTTTTCATTGCGTATCTGTCTTCATGAATCATCAGCAGTGCCAGAGCTCTGATCTCAGAGATGGATGAGATGGGAACTGGGTCGGCGTCCGAGAACGGCCCTTTCTGAAGGGGGGGGGAAAGCTACTACGAAATGGTCTCGCAGCCGGCGAGTACCATCGACCCCGTCCGTGACCACCTTGCCGTACCTGACAGACATCTCGGGTCATATCTACTACGAATTTGTCTACATGAATCACCGACACTCCTCGAGTACGATCTAAGAGATGGGAGATCATGGTGGGCCGAGAAGGGACCGGGTGTTTTTCCGAAGCTCTCCTACATGGTCCGGTATGCAGTGCGAATAGTGTCACTCAAAGCGACATGGATCGACGTCCGAGATTATTTTGTTGGTATATTGTATCCAAACATGTCGAAAGTCACAGGTTACAAGGACAAGGTCATTGGTGCATCCAAGGAAGCCGTAGGCAGCATCGCGAGCGAGCGGCTGCGGACCGAGGGAGAAGCTCAGAGGTTCCAAGGGCATACGGCGATCGACCAAGCCAAGGTGCAGAATCGGGCCCAGGCGATCGGTGACAAGATCTCGGGTGCCTTCAAGGAAGGAACCGGAACGCTCACGGGGGACGCATCTCTGAGACAAGAGGGTAAATGGGATCGTTGGGACGGACAGCAGAGAGCTGCGCGGAATCAGCTGTAGATATTCTCGCACCGAGCTACAGTAGTTTTGCAAGCAGTTTATGCGTTCAGAGGAGAAGTTAATTTGCTCTCGTAATGCTAGCTAGTATGAATACGTTCACTTTCTTCGACATCGATGAGGACAAGATTCGTAGTCTCGAACGTGCTCTGAAGAACGTCGATCCATTGAGGTACAATAGTTGTCGTTTCCTTCATACCTCATTCGAAGGCTTGCTAGACATGGGTTTGGATCTGAGCGCAGCCGTCTCCCCTGCAAACAGCCTGCTTTTCTTCGACGGTGGGGTAGATGCAGCATATCAGGCAGCCTTCCCAAATATTCAGAAAGATGCACAGACGCTCATGAAGCAATTTGGAATTC